TTTCTGCAGGGTAGATTTTTAATGACCTAGGAGTCTGATTTCTTCTGAGACTGGTCTCTTCATGCTATTTGATTTTTATTCTGTTAATTTAAAAGTTTTTATTAGAATAGGGTACTTGTATCTCTGTATCTTGGATTTCACTTTTTTTTTTTAGACTGTGAACTCCATTTTCTCATTTCTAGTTTTAATAATTTGATCTTTCTCTTTTATTGGACTTGCTACACACAGTTTTTTGATCTTTCAAAAAACGGGTCTTAGTTTTGTCTTTTGGAGAAGTTTCTCATTTTTTAATCTTATTTTGCTTATTTCTCTTTTCTCTCATGCTAATTTACTAATTTTTTTTAAGTATACACTCAACTCAGTAAGTTATCCTGTCTATTTCTTATTGCTATAGCAGGCATTCAGGACTATCAATTGACATCTGAGTACTCTTTGGGCTACCTCTCATTGATTTTGACTAGTACTATATGTATTATTATTATCTTTCATATAATCTGTTTTCCTATTGTTTTTATCATTTCCTTTCTTGCTCAATAAATTGTTTAGCCAATTTTTTATAAAGGTTTTACCTGGGCCTAAACCAAATTATCATTATTTGCTACTGATTATTGTATTATGATCTATGAATGCAAAATAAAAAAATTTTCTGATTTTCAAAATTTCTCTTCTTTATGATCCTTTGTGGTCAGTTTTTACATACATGTTATGTATATATGAACAAAATATCATTTGCTCCATGGAAACATTGAGTTTTTTCTATGTACCCATTACGTATTTGTTAAATCCAGTTTAATATATTATTTTAATATTGTAATTTCTTGAACTTTTTATCATTCTGATAATGGAGTGTAGAAAATTCCCACCCTGTTACAAATTTTTAATCATTCTTACAAAACTAAGCTATTTATTTCTTTATAAACTTTACTGTAAAATGGGTAAATGTATTTTTTTAATGCACAGCCTCTCATTTTGAATATTTCATTTCAGCATAATATAAGGTCCTTGTTTATATCTCAGTCTTTTCTGACACATTTGCTGTTTGTCAGTACCACCACTGCAATTTTCCGTTTTTTTAAATTAGCAATAGAATAATAAACTTTAGACCAATCTTTGCATTTGAATTTTGGTAACTTTTAGAATCAATTGTGTAACACACATATGGAACATATTAGTCAGTTATGTTTTTTATTCGATTACATAATCCCTTTCCTTTTCATCAAAGTATATAGGATATTTAGTGTCTTTAATTATCATGAACTTAACAAACATGAATGTTTCCGTATACAAAGGACTGAAAAAGAGGATTCCATATGATACTATGAATCTTTCGCAAGTTTTTGAAAACCATATATTAAATTGGACTAGGTAGTATCAGCACTACCCCTCTTGAATATATTCCCTTTTGTACTTATTTCAGTTCTTTTTTATTTTTAAATGTTTCATTGACTCTTTTCTTTCTTTTTTTTTTTTTATCACTATTACTGTCTCCCAGTCCCTAGAAACTTTGCAAAAGACACTCAAATCTCTCACTTCAAGGTATTTTGCACTGGCTCTTCCCCATGCCTATCCTCCTGGCTTCGCTGGTATCTTTCAGGTCTCATCATCTATGAGAAACTTTTCCAGATCCCACTTAATGCTAGTGCCTTCACTCTGCTGATTATTTGTAATTTACCCTATTGTATGTAGTTGTTTACATGTAAACTGGGGGTCCCTGAGAGCAAAGATTCTCTTTTTCCTTTTTTGTATCCCTAATGTTCAGCACAGTGTCAGGCACATAGTAAGCGCTGAATAAATGTTTATTGACTGATTGCATGGTGGTGGGGTCTGGGGAATTGTCTAAATCATTGGTGTCAAACTCAAATAAAAATGGATCCCTGCTGGCTGCATATTGACTTAGAAAACTACAAATTAACATTAGCCATGTTGTGTGGTATTTTTGTTTATTTTGTTAAACATTTTCCAGTTACATTTCAATCTGTTCAGGAGTTTTGCAGGTTTCTTGGGGCCTAAAGGCACTGCTATTTTGAGCTCTAAGATCCAATTCAGGTTTAACATTCTGATTCTCCAGGGTTGATTCTGGTGTATTTTTTTTTTTTAACCCTCTCCCCCACCCACCCAAAAAAGTAAAAGGTTGGATTATACTACCATTGATGAAGTATTCAGCCTAGTGGCTTCTATAGTCTCATGACCTTTATCTGATCTAAATGTGTCCAACTGATAAATTGATTTGTATATCAGGAATATTCTGGAGCCAGCTTATACCAGCTTGTGAATGCCAGTTAAATTTTCATTGTGAACATTTATACCTCAGAAATCAGCAAATGCTACAAAACAGGACTTGATGTATTGATTTGTTGATTGCCCGGACTTGAGAAACTGATACAGAAAATGTTAATAAAACATACTAAATATAAAATTGTAATGTACATCCCTCCCCACCCCTATAGAGCTAGTGGTTAAATATTTACCAGCACCACCCAGCCTAACTTAAAGAAAAGTCACAATTTTACAAAAATAAATCTTTATTAGTACAATAATTTAAATTGATTTAGTTGTATACAAATCATGAACACAAATGAAAACCATTATAACATTAACCTAGCATTCATTTCCCTAGATTTTTTGTTTGTTTCAGCTTTGTGTTAATTAATTACCTAGATTTTGAACTAAACCTTTCTTTCCAGAATTTGTCTGTAGTAGACTTGTTTTCCTGAGTAACTTAGCATTTAGAATGCACTAACTTGCTTAAGTACATGTAACTGGCGACAAAAAGACCTGTGTGTAAAAAACTATAGCAGCATTTATGCTAACAAAAAGCTGCAAACAGTAGACATGGTCAGTGATTAGAGAGTAGTTGAGCCAAATATGGTCTATGAATAATGGAACAATGAATGTGAAAGTCAGAGATCTACAAGAAGATATTTAAAAAGTGACTGCAGACCCAGTTGAACACTAAACATAATGACTGTAACTGGAGATAAAAGAGAACTCTGATCAGATACAATGGTCAGCAATAGATACATATTTCCTACATTAAAGGATGTGTCCCTTCTTTCAGTTAACAACCAATAAACTGTTTAGGGGAAAAATAAAAATAAAAGTTCAAGATAGTTGTCAGAAACAAATGTTTGACTCCTAAAAGACTCTAGTCTAAGATCAATCGAGTTGGAATAAGTCTGTAGACCAGAGGTCTTTGGGTCTTTTTTCTAGCATATCATTTGGAAGGAATTATACTGAAACATCACTTTACAAAGTGGTATTTTTTTCACGAGTGATGTCACATCACAAGACAGTCCAGAGTTAAAAAGGCAGTCTGTCCCTGAGATAGAATCATCTCATCTGTTATTTGGTGAAGTGTAAACTTCTTTAGTGCTGGCATGATTTTTATTCTCCAACGGTCAGCAAAAAACATCAGTGCTAGGATCCAGTGAACAATAAGTCAGAGAAAGCCTATTAAGTACATGAAAGCTATTTACTTAATCCAGACAACAGCAGGAATACGCTACTTCCCACACAGCATTTCATTATTTTGAGTTCTAAACTCACCTGATTTTTTAAAAGGGATCCAAAATAAAGAAACTCAATCTCCCCTATGTATAAGATTGTATAACTTCCATTTTTGTCTTTGTCTTTGTGTTCCTCAGTGCTGAGCTCTGTCTAGCACACAGTAGATGCTTAACAGATGTTTGGTGGATTAATTACTACAAACCTAATTGTACCTTGTGAGGGTACCAGGACTGTATTTTTGCCTACTACAGAGCAGTTACCACTCCGTAACTAATTTTAACAAAGAAGATTTAAATATTTTAATGCTTCCTGGCCATCGTTGCCTTAAAAATTAATCTTTATCTCAGCCGTAACTTGCTTTAAATATATACTTTAACACAAGAAAATGTTTCTCTTAAAATAAAAACTTTTACCATCTAACATTAACTTTTGTAAATTCCCAGAATTATATGTTCATTATAATTTTGTACAGGTATGTGCTGTTGATTTCTAAAAGGCCAAAAGATTTTACTTGGCTAGGAGACATGTTATAAGGACATTCAAATACTTCATGCCAGTCTCCATCACTGTACTTAACAGGGACTGTTATGTCATTTCTATACAGTTCAGTCATCATGGAACAGTTTTTGAATTAGAAAATAAGATTGAGATCCTCTCCAAATGAAAGACATTCTGTTTAATTTTTTAAACCCTCATGCAGGTGAATTAAAAAAAAAGTTTTTTTATTACTGGTATATTTTCCATTTGTTGAGAATGTTAATTGTGGAAATTTAATTTGAGATATATATGCAGTTTTAATTTGCAAGTTTGTAATTTTACCATGATAATCACTAAATATTAACATTAGATAGATCGCGTTACTTTTTTGGTTATTTGTTATGAAAAAGAGTTGTGTAACATCAATTTCAGAGGATCCTTTCTCAAGCATTGAAGTCATTTAAAGGAGATGTTTATTACAGAGTTTAAAAAGAAACATAAACCTTCATATTAGGATTATATAAGTCTTTTCCTAAATGTTGTCAGTTATAGTTTTAAGCCTCATGGAACTTTATTTAGAAAAAATATCTGTGTACCTTAAAAACATCAAAGGATCTTCTTCCCTTATCAGTCAAGCAAACCAATGACTGGCCTAGATTAAAATCAGAAGTAGAAGGACCACCCCCCTATCTCCTTCCTATCACCTCAGGTTACCTTACCTTTGTTTTATGTACGCTTTCTATATATCCGTATAGATGACTATTGTCTCCCCTATTTGAATGTGAGCTCTTTGATGGCAGGAGCTGTTTCCATTTTATTTTTCTGTCTACCTAGTGTAGTGCCTGGCCTTCATTAGCATGTAAGCTAACGTGCGAGCTAATGTTCCAGACCCTCACAACAACCCTGGAGGTAGATGCCTATTTATCCCCATTTTACAGATGAGAAAACTGAGGCAAACAGAGGTTAATCACACTGCTACTAAGTGTCTGAGGTCGAATTTGAACTCAGGACTTTCTGACTCCAGGACCAGTATTCTGTGCATTATGGCTCCACCTAGCTGCCTTATTTGCTGGTTGACTTTTAAGACTATGAAGAGAAAATTGGGGTATTCTTTGAAATACAACTAAAACTAGTTAACTATTGAAACCCAAATCTTGTAAAGACTTGTTTTTGTTTATATCAAGGATTCATGCTTCAAGTAAGAGTTGAATCACATGACCTCTAATCCTAGCATGCTAGGATTCTATCAATGGTTTAATAAATGTATGTGTTGGTGAGGATAGTGGAAAACGTGACATCCATGGCTTCATTCAAGTATTTGATCAGCCATACTCTGCCGCTTGGATGCTTTACCTGTGAGACTTCCAAGGGTCTGCAATAAGCTTCAATCCTTGGACCACGTGAATAGGCAAAGCTATTTTCTTATTCCAGACATTTGCAAAAATGCTCCTCCTCACACAACAATTCATTCATTTGTAGGTCTAAATTCACAACTAACTTTTAAAGGGATAGAACACAAGGAAACTCATATCTTACAAACATACACTCACACAACATATATATGTATGTGTACGTATATATGTATATGTATATACATTTACACATATATAGGTGAATATCTTCAGGATTTGCTTGGATATTAGGATCCTAACTCTGGAGCTCAAAGGGGACCCCAGATAACATCTAATCCAGTTCCCTCCCTTTACAGATGAGGAAACTGAGGCCTAGAGAGGTTAAGTGATTTGCCCAAGGTCACACAATTATTAACTGGCAGAATTGGGATTTGGAACTCGAGTCATCTGACTCCAAGTTCAGCACTTTCCCCACAGCACCATGCTGCACCCCAAGTTAGAATGAAGTGGCAATTACTGAAATGTTCACCATACCTTTTTTCTCAGGCATTCCCGAATTTAAATAACCTTGAAAGTCAAGGAGAAATCATATTTATTCAATCATGTGGTAGTGCAAAAGGCTTGCTTTCACTTCAAGAAGACTATCTCTTTTTGGTACTTAATCTCAATTTAAAAAAAAAATAGATACTATTATATAATATACAAGTGACCTCAAGCAAATAGCAAAATATTCTAATAATATAACCCTCTAAAATTGTATGAATATAAACATTAGATTGAGATGTTCAATGCACACCAAGAAATTCCAGGATTTTCATGATAACTAACTGTGGTTACAACTAATCTTGGAATAACAGCATTTTTCATTTTGCTTTGTGGATCTTTACGTTTGCACCTCAACCAAATTAGCCCACGATGCCTTATTGTGTCATGAATGTGACCCAGGCTTCTCAAAGGCCATGCTAATAGAGCATAAGTTCAGTCAAGTCCTACCAAGCTTGAAAGACTCCAGATGCAGTTGTCATCTGAAGGCCAATGTAACTGAGTTCAAAAAGACTCAGGGCTGGGCTGATTGCAAGAAGATGAGTTTTACGATCACAGCTGCTCTCAGAGGTCCATTTTGGGTCAATGGAATGAGGACCCATGTTGACAAAATTACAGACCCTTGAAACATGTTAGCATATATGTGATAAAGTAGATTTTGTGGTCCCAGTGAATCTCACTAAAAAATTTTGAGCTAGCATCATCCAAATCTTGAAAATTAACATTCACTTAGTAAATTTTTGGTGCCAATGCAACTTCTTATTGTATGTCAAATAAAGGCATTAAATAAATGGCCAAATTTAAATTGATTTTGAAATTGTGTATTTTCCAAAAGCCTACATTAGTACTTCTATGAAATACCTTGGTCAAATAGGGATGAAATCCCAAGGAACAGACCTATTTATCATATGATTATAGACCTAGAGTTGGAAGTGATCTGAGCCTATTTAGACTAACCTCTTCATTTTATACATGAGGAAACTGAGGCCTGGGAAAGTTGAGTGACCACCCCAAGGTCATACAGGTAGTAAGCAAGCTAGAGAGGTAATATTTGAACCCCCCTCCTCTAACTCCAGAGCTAATGTTCTTTCAACTGTACTGGATAAGATCCAATGACCAAGCGTATTGTTTATAGTAAAAACAATCTACAAAACCAACTATGTACAAGAACAAATGGGCAAATAATGATATTTAAGGCTTTGTTCAGACCAGTTAATACCAATTTTGTTTTCTTGCTCAATTAAGTTTTTTTCCAAATTCTCTAGTGCTTTTTACTGAGGTTTCATCAGTTAAGTTTAAAGTTTTAAAGCCATCATATTCTAAATAGTTATAGGAAAGAATATGATGAAAATGCTTTTACAAAGTAATTAGGAAAAAAATGTTCAATGAAACCAACTTAAGAACTATTACTTTCTCTCAGTTAATGTTATGAAAGGTTGGGTCCTAATAGTATTTTATTTTGAAAAAAAAAGTGTGTGTGTGTTTGTGTGTGTGTGTGTGCATATTTGTATATAGGTAATATATTTGTGTGTATATGTGTGTACATATAGAGTAAATGTTAGTTCTTTTTCACTAGGTATGGTAATTCACAAGACATCAAGCATCCTTTGACTACATTTGCTTTGTATGGGCAGTGTTTTAATGCTTCATCCTTTTCCCTCAAATCTTTTATACTAAGATGTTTTATTGATTGTTGACAGGTCTATTTTACCCTAATTTTTTTAATAGCCTAACTATGCCCAATAGCCCTGAGGAGATAAACGTGTTTTAGGTTTGATAAACAATATGGTACAGTGGACCAGGTCTCAAATCTTGACTGGAGTTTCGAACATCTGTGATTTTGAACAACTTACTTCTCTGGGTCTCAGTTTTCTCATCTGTCAAATGAGGCAGATTGGACTATGAGCTTTCTAGGCTCTTTTATAGCTAGAAATCTAGTTTGGGGAAAAGCTTACTTCATGTAGATTCAGCCTTTCAAAATTACAATAGGACATATTGATCCTTTCTTAAGATTATTCTATGAAGTCTGTTTGGTTAAAAAAAAAAGTTCCTGAAGAAGTTGAATACAAAGAGTTGGTGGGTCCATTCATTTTTTCCATTAAATTTTGGTTTAGAATTTGCTTTAACACAGATACACCTCCAGACACACTAATGAGCCAATCTTGCCTCCTTAGTAACTGGCAAGGCACCAGTCTTGGTAGCTGGGTGATTACTCCTTCGGTGTCGGCTGCACCTTCCTGGCCAGGTAACTTCATGTCCGATATGTAAGAGGTAGCTGGTCGATCACTTGACTTGACAGAAAACTGAAGCAGTTCTCTTGTCTTTTTAAGCATATGTCATCTTTCCCAGATAGTTGGCGGGCACATATCCCTTCTGCCCTTGAGCTTCGGCTAGCCACCACTCCTTATTGCCACTCAGATCACAAAATCGGAGAATGTGAACCCGCTGGTATTCCTGGAGGCTGAGCTCGTGTTCGCTTCGGGCTTGAAATGCATGAACTGCGTAGAATATCTAGACAGGAAAACAAAAGACATTTTGAAAAGCAGAATCTAAAAACCTCTCATGTGAAATAGGCAAAATGGGAAAACTTCCTAAGCTTTCGCAGTACCACTTCATACTGCCCATTTTTTCCTAAAAAATACATTTTACTGATGCCATTTAAATAACATCACTTAGTTTAACACCCCCCACCCCCGCCTTTACCACATTGAACTTTCTTTTGTGACAAAGAAAAAATAAATGGAACTTCATCTAACAATAATAGTAACTGGTTTTTATATAGCGCTTGTAAAGCACTACACGTTACCTCATTCAAGCTTGTGAAGTAAGTGCTATTATGATCCTTTTTTTTACCTATGAGAAAACTGAGGCAAGAGAAGAGGTTAAGTGACTTGCCCAGGGTCACACAGCTTGTAAATGTCTGATGTAGCATTTGAACTCAAGTCTTCCAGACTCCAAGCCCAATGCTCTTACCCACTGCACCACCTAGTCGCTAATGTGTACAAACGTTTATAACAGTAAGCCCCTTCCCCACCTCCAACCTGCAACCAAGACTTTCTGTTCTCTAGCACCTTGACTCATTTTTCAGGGGCTCAGTTTGGCTTCCCTTTAGAATGCTTTACATTTACACTCTTGTTGTCATTGTATTTATGTTACCTTTAATCTGCTTATTTTGCTCTGTATTAGGTCATACGGAATCTTCCCAAATTTCTCTGCTTTTCTCATTTTTTGTCACTTCTTACTGTATAATAGCATTTTATTACAGTTCTATACCACCAGTTCTTCAGTTACGTCCCCCTGGAAGGGTGCTGCCATTAACATTTTGGTAAGTTCTGGACCTTTGCTTTTGTCTTTGATTTTCTTGGGGTATATGCTCACGAACTGGACCTTTGATTCCTTCTCTGACCCTCTTGGGGTATATAAGCTCAAGAGCTGGATCAGTGATTCAAAGTATATAGACAGTCATTTCTTGTTTAGTTCTAAATTGACATCCAGAATTGCTGGACCTTTTCACAGCTCTAATCAGGTGCTTCCCACAGCCCCTCCAACGATGACTATTGTATATCTTTTCACAGCTCATTTCACATGATCGTTTTGTCATTTTATTTATTTTTTGCTAAAGATGAAACAAAAACTTACAACAAATTTCTATCAGAAGTACTTCTAGCCAGACTCCAAGAGAGAAAAGGTAACTAACTTGGTGGAGTGCTAGATAGAGCATTAGATCTGGAGTAGATCTGGGTTTGAATCTTACCCTCAGACATCTATAAGCTGTGTGACCATGGGAAATCACTCAACTGCTCTGTGCCTCAGTTTCCCCATCTATAAAATAGGGCTAATAATAGCACCTACTCCTAAGGATTCTTGTGAGGCTAAAATGAGATAGTGTTTGCTTTGCATATCTTAAGGCATTATTATAAATGCTAGCTATAACTTGATAATTTAAGCTACATAGGTGACATCCAGTCTTCATATCATGTTAAGACTCGTTGCCCTCTAACAAACATCATTTCCTTCTCCAGTGGATCCATCTTGTCAGGCAATCAGAGGTTAAGTGACTTGCCCAGGGTCACACAGCTAGGATGTGTGTGGGGCTTAATTTGAATTCAGATCTTCCTGACTCCTGGCCCAGTCCTCTATTTACTGAGCTATGTCCTGTGTTATTAATTTTACTTAATTGCTTTACTTTAGTATGAGACTTCTCATGAAGTCAAATAATATGTACAGGTATATAACATAAAAACAAAATACATCAATACAATGGAAAATGACCCAAAAAGAATCTACTACACTTTTTTCTAATTTAAAAGCTTTTTCTAATTCTTTGTTGACTCTATGAGGTGAAACTTGCATAAACACCAAAGAACATGGTATACTATATATAGTTGTTACGGACTGGGAGTTGTATTACCAAGTGTCTTCTCTGTATCAAAGACAATCTCTTCTGATAACAATTGGTCCCTGGCCCCCCTTGATATTTATTCTGTATATATTTTGCTTATACATTAGACTGTGAACTCCTGGAGGCCAGGGCCTGTTTCTGCCTTTCTTTGTATCCCTGGTGCTTGGCACATCTCAGGTGCTTAATAAATGTTTATTGACATCACTAGTGCAGATAAAACTTTTTGTTTTCTTCCATCAACAGTTCTACTTGGTCTCAACTCCAGGAACATCAAGGCTGCCCTAGGATAAGCTTATCACTTGAAATCTCATCATCACACTGAGTGACTCAGACAACATCTAAGAAAGGAACCCTTTAAATCTGATGGTTTCATATGTACAAATATACAAGATATAGGTAACAAGGGAGATGAATTATAAAGCCTAACCCAAAGAGACAAATTTCAGCTCATTAGTATCCCAGAGACTTGGTGGAATGAGACCTGTAGCTGAAATGTGATTCAGGAAGGGTTGTCTCTGGGCAGTTGTTACAGTTCTGTCTGACTTTGTGACCCCATTTGGGGTGTTCTTGGCAGTGATAATGAAGTAGTTTGCCATTTCCTTCTCCAGCTCATTTTACAGAAGAGGAAACTGAGGCAAACTTGACTTTAAGTGACTTGCTCAGGATCATACAGCTAGTAAGTGTCTGAGGTCAGATTTGAACTTAGGTCTTCCTGACTCCACACCTAGCATTCTATCCAATACCCCACCCAACTGCGCTCAAGAAAGGTATATCTTTTTTTAAAAAAAAATAGGAATGGTAAAGGAGAGGGATTTGCATTGCAGATTAAGAATATATATTCATGTCAAGAAATCTAGGAACCAAGTAAGTATGGTGGAGTACATGTAGGTGAATATCATTTGTGTCTCCCCTCCTCTCATTTTCCCCTACTCTTCTTTCTTTCTATCTTTCTTTTTTTCTTTCTGGCTAGGCAATAGGGTTAAGTGACTTGCCCAGGGTCACACAGCTAGTAAGTGTTATGTGTCTGAGGCCAAATTTGAACTCAGGTCCTCCAGAATCCAGGGCTGGTGCTCTATCCACTGTGCCACCTAACCCCTACTCCTAAAAGCAGAATAGCTAGTCAATTCTTGACTTGCTTTACTCATCCTTTCATCATTCAAAAGGTAGCTGTATCAACAAGGAGATATTCTATTCTAAATATGTTTCTTACCACCAAGGAGGAACTGACCGCTGGATGGAAGTGATGAGACTCTTGGGGAGATAGGGAGACCGTTTTATCTTGCAATTTGTGATAGAGAAAATAAAGACAAACATGCATCCTACCTTTGGGGAGAACAAATTTCAAGGGGGATCCCATGGACTAAAATCCATAGGGCAAGTCGACCCAGGAGAAGCTCTGAAGACACAAGGAGAAACAACTCCAGTGGAAAAAAAGGGGGGGGAGCTGCTTACAGAGACAAATTCCACAGGGAGCTCACAAAACAACTTAGGGTTTCTTTTTAAGAAAATAATTTTATAATTATGGGCTTAGCAGAGGATGAACTCAAAACTTTGCCATAGTTCAAAACAGAAGCAATTGAATAAGAATTGAAGGACGTTGTCTTTTTCCTGATGTCAGAAATAACATCCCATCCACTTTGAGCAATGGTCTCATTCCTTCAACCTTCTCCTTTCCCCAATGTAACTCTAAAAACTATTTGGGGTTGTCCTTTATTTTCTTTGCCAGCCTCAGTTCATTCTGAGGCTTAACACCCCTTATATGGGTCTTCCAGGACTCTATGAAGCTATTGTATTTATCCCTGTTACATGGCCTGGCTTCTGTCTTCTATACACGTATCTTTTAAAAATCTAAGCTGATGGATTAGTTTGCTGTGCATCCCCATCTTTAGGTAACTCCCCCCTTTTTTTGTCCTCAATGGAGTTGTTTCCTTGTACTAGAAAAGATAAATTTTTTTTAAAATGATGAATAGCAAGTTGTATCCAGGATAAGTGAGGACATAGAAAGAGAATATCTTGATGACTTTTGATGACTTCAAGTTACCAAGCTCAGATAAGTCATATCTTACATACTGAGGGAATTTACAATGGTGTTTGCTGAGCCTGGGTCAGTGATCTTTGAAAGATCATGAAAAATGAGAAAGGTGCTGCAGGAGTGCAGAAGGGCAAATGTCCTGATTTTCAGTAAGAGGAAGAAAATAGAGTTGACAAACTATAAGCCAGTGATCTCATTTTGATTCTTGACCAAATTCTAGAACATATTATTGAAGGGATGGTTAGTGACTATCTAGAAAGGAAAGCTGATCACAAAGAGCCAGCATGACTTCATAAAAGCCCATCATGCCATACTCACCTCATCTTTTTGACAGGGTTACCAGACTGGAAAATCAAGGATACCTACTACAGTTTACCTAGGTTTTAACAAAGTGCTTGACAAATCTCTCACACTGTTCTTGTGGAAAATATAGAAGTAAACTTAGCAAGCAAATTTGCAATTGGTTGCATACCCAGGTCCAAAGAATAGTCATTAATTAGTCAGTGTCAAGCAGAAAGGATGTCACCAATTTATTTTCACAGAATTCTGAACTTGCCCTGCACTATGTAACCTATTTAAAAGTGTATAGATTAGAGAAATGGATGGAGTGTTTATCTGATTGATAGAAGACACAAAGCTAAGAGGGATAGTTAATATGCAGAATGATGGTCAAGATTCAAAAAGATTTTGACAGGATGGAACATAGAACCATCTTGAACAAGATGGAACTTCATAGCGATAAGCACTTCTATTTGGGTTTTAAAAAGTCAAGTTCTGAAGTCTAAGATAGATGCATCTGAAAAGAATCATGGAGTTTTAGTGGGTGTTAAGCTCAGTATGTGTCAACAGTGACATGGTGACTGAGTGATATGGCAAAACGTGGTACAGCAACACAATACTACACTGGATTTGGTGAGACATGATACTCAGGACTAGGGAGTTAATACTCCCTCTGTCCTCTTTCAGATTCTACTTGGAGTTTTGTGTTCAATTCTAGAGGCCACATTTGGGAAGAACATTGATAAGCTGTAGAGCAGCCAGATGAGGGCAGTTGGGATGGTGACAGGCCTCAAACTT